GATGTATAATAGATACATTTTTATATCTATCTATACACATATAAATATTGTTCTGCCTGTGTGAAATGTGAGACGTKCTTCATATTTCCTGTTTGGCACCACTTTAATCTCTTTGTGGGGCTAATGTATTGAATTTACCATCTGCATTAAATCACTGCAAGTACAACCATGACATACTTACTGTGTGAGTTTCTTCAAGAAAAGAGTAGGAGACTACTTCAGAACATGTATTTATATGCTCTTAATTTATTCTGAGGGTATAACTTCCCATTTGGCTTTGATTTTGTCTGCATTTTGTATTTTTTKCTTTGAAAGAGAAGAGTTCTCAACAGGTCTCAAAGTGTCCACCAGTGTGACAGTGATGTACTTGCTCCTTTCTGTGATTTATTTTRATGTCAGTTCCTCTCAGTTTGAGGGATGCTGCGTGTGCATTTCAATGAAAAGGTCATAGAAATGGAATTTTGCAGGTGAACAAAATTAAATCCTCACAGACTAGTTTCCGGTGAGAAAAAGTGGTTTAGCAGCCCGAAWTGTAGAATGCTTCTGGAATAAAATCCAGATGTTTCTATCAGTGATGCAGGAACTACCATTCTATTAGAAGTAATTGAAATTTTAAATAACCTGCTCAGACTTTGGACAGATTAGCCTATGGAGAAAAAWGACTGTTCAGCAATATTTCATAAATCTTAAGACTTTTTCAAAGGATATGTATAAGAATACATGTTTAAACATATCTTTAAAGTGCCATTATTCTGATTTCAGTGAAGACTAAAAGAATCAGAAGTTAAAGCAGCTGCTTTAAATTTCCTGTAGACCCAGTGAACTGGACTATGACAGTACAAGAATAGGAAAATCTGAAAAAGCAAATTTTAAGTAGTGCTTCCACTGTCTACTTGACAGCACTCTCCACCTTAAATCATATCACTCCAGGAATTTACACTCATTTATACCTGCAGAAAATAACCCAGCAAAACAAACAAAAAAAAAAAATCAAACCAGAACAAAGTTTGGGTTTCTAAAATTGATCTGTGAAGAATATTGATAATGTGATAGCAGTCGACAGGCTTCAAATTCCAATWGAAAAAGTGAAATGCCAGTGCAGAACCGCAATGGAGGGAAGAAAAATAGTGCTACAGGTTGCACAGAAAAAGAGAAAGCAGGCAGATCTACTGAATTTTGCTTTTCTGAGGTAACATTTCAGCATGCTGCTGCATTTTTACAGGACTGCCTGATTTTTGCAGTAGTGTCATAAGTTACAAAGCCAAGTGTTGCTATGGCAGAAGCATTTTAGTGKGGTTCTTACCTTCAAATTAAAAAAAAATTACTTAAAAWATAGCCACTGTGAAGTCAYRAATSTMTCTTGACCTACTAGAAGAAAAGGAACTGCTGAGTGTGTAGCATGCAGGATTCAAAATTCAAACCATAAATGGATGCTGACAGATTAAGTAGTAACATGACCAACTGTTTGTGCCATTCGAGTCAGGAAATCCCTATCCTTGTGAGTGGAGAAAAAAAGGGTCCCAGAAGTGGTTCCCAAAGAGTGGGGGATGCTTCTCTTGAATTAGTGGCTAAATAGATTTTTATTTGCACACTAGTAGCTGAGAAGCATGAAAGAGCTAAGCGTTAAACTCTAATTGATG